GAAATATGAGCACAGAAGTCAATTACCTAAAAAAAATGCAACAACATCTCAGCAAAATTTTCAAAGAATGGGGTAACTTTCGGCTAGGGTTTTGGATGAAGAAAAATAAGAAAAATGTCTCATTTAAATAAGAAAAAATAGAAACTAAATATGATGGCTAATCAACCCCTTGATTAGCACCACTTCACTTCCTAATTATATTGGGTAATTTCTTTTTTTTATCTAATCAATCCAATTTATTGGTTTCCCTAATTTTAGCCAATCAATATAATTAATTGGTTTCCTTAATTTGAGTCAATCAATCTAATTAATTAGTTTCTTTAATTTTCTCCGTTGTCATCAAATCTAATTTCATGGCTATATTTAAATTTAAAATTACAATTCAAATTAATTTTATCAATTTAACATTTAAATTAATTAGGTTGCTGGATCAAGTCCCACTTGGCCCATGACGCATACAATTTAATTTTTTTTTAAACTTGCTTAAGATGGAAAGTTCAAGCTTTTCACAAGAATCCAAATCATTATATGAATTACACGTGGCAAAACGTTCAACATAATGGCTCTGAATTATAATATAGTATAGATAAATTTTGATTCAATATCTTATTGATAGCTTTATACAAAAAAAAGTATTATTTATTGTAATCAACTTTATCAAGTAATTTTATTTAAATCATAACTTGTAACTAAAATGAATTTAAAATTATAAAAATTAAATATCAAACTTTCATATAACACATGTCAAATTAACAAAGTCAATATAAATTATCTTAGTTGTAATTGTCTTATGTACTTTTCAATGTTTAAAATTCAAAAGTTCATTAAAATTTTAGTAGAGAGATAAATTATAGATTTCCAAGAAACTCACATTAGGAATCTTAGTTATTCACGTTTTGTATAAGGATTCTTAAAATTTTCCTCGAAAAATGAGATTCTTGGGAATTAAAATTGTAAATAAGAACCCCATGAATTAATACCACAAAGTGGGTGGTATTCTTGAATTTTCACGTGGGCAAATTTTACATAATTTATAAGATATAAATAACCTTACTTTAATATTTTTGTGACTAAAATACCCTCTCTTGTTAAAGCCCTAGCTTACTCTGCTTCACAAAATCGTGGATTATCTCTTTCCTTTCACAACACCTTTTTACTGGGTTCCTCTCTGCTTCACTCCGCTCCATTCTATTTTCTCCGCCACTTGCGCAACACAACCCTCATTCCACAATCGTACAACTTCAGCTTTGATGAGAATGAAGATGAAGAAAGCGCGAAAAATACACTTTCACACCCACCTATGCCATTCCCATCTCCACCTATGTTAACTTCGATATGTGTTGCTGTAGTTTGCGAAACTTGGGGTTGTTCTTGCATACTCGTCTTCAGATGTTGCAGATCGATTAAGAACGCTTGGTTGATGAAGTCGATTTTGGGTTGAGAACGATTTCGGGATTGAGAACATTTTCGTGGTTGCTGCATATGGTAATAGCTTGGTTGCCAAAATTGATCTGGGGTTGCCATGCTTAGAGAACGGTCAAATTCGTTTTTTGGAAATTTGGGTTTGATCTCCAACGCCATGTTTTAACCCTTTTGTGGCATATCAGAAATCTTTATCAAAAATTCGTAAGATGTTAGTTTTATAAAATCAGCCCATATCCAAGGAATCATTGACAATCAACAAAACATAAAATCAAGAAACTTGAGACAACATTCCTGAGAATATTTTGGCTAGGGATGGCAAAATGGGCCAACTCGGTCCAACCCATTTAACTCAAAAAAAAAATGAACTGGGTTAGGGTTGCCTAAAAAAAAGGAGTCAAAAAACCCAACCCAACCCGACTTTTGTCGGGTTCGGATTGACTCATGGGTTAGCTCAAAAAAATGGGAGAAAAATAGCCTTTGTCACACTCTTCTAGTACATGTGGTGGGAAAGCTAAGGACTTGCTTTTCATTTTATATATAAGATATCTACTGCAAAGGAAAACACTTAATATAATCATTATTTACTAGCCACTAAAGGAATTGACTAGAAATAAAGGAAGTGGAACTCACGCTGGAACGATGCTCGGCCGGTGGCAACGGTAACTGCGATCACTATGGTGGAATGGCAATGGCAGCAGTGAAGCGCAGCGAAGGCAGCGTATGCGTTTGGGATTTAGCCTTTAGGTTTCTACTTTCTTTGAACAGATATGGCCCCCTTATTATTCTTTTGTATTTTTTCAATAAATAAAAAAAGGATAACCCGCGAGCTGGCCCGTTTGACCCACGAGTTGGCTCGATTTTTTTCAAGCTGGCTCGGGTTGTCAGCTCATTCTTGCCAACCCAACCTGGCTCATTTTATGCGGGTTACGAGCCAAACCGACGAATTGACTGATTTTTGTCATCCCTAATTTTGGCTTACCAAATAGCTTTTTGGTAACATTCTTGCAAAAATTCACTTTCCCAATATATTCCTCAGAATCATGATTCCCATGAACCAAAAAAAAAATATTTCTCCTATACCAAAGTGCTCTATGTAACCGTCTCTTTCGATATCTCTAATCCAAGGTTTTTGTTGTTTTCCAAAGACAACATTTTTATCATTAATTTATTTTTATTTTTTCTTGATAGTTCTGTAACATTTTTCATTTTATTCGTTTATTTTTTTTAATAATTTAATTTTTGTGTTTATTGTTTCTTAAAAGAGAAAATTATCTCCATTAACTTCTTTTTTTTGTATCCTATCTCCAGTAACCTATGAAGCACCGACACTTCAAAAATCCTGACGTGTCGTGTCTGACACTTCTCGACACTCTCTGACACTCCGACACTCTCGACACTCTATCACGCATTGTAGAGACTCAAAAAAAGGTTAAAAGGTTGCGTTGCGTTGCATTTTTAGTTCCAACTATTAGATTCGTTAAATTACGATTACCATTTTATTGAATTTAATATAAATATTTGGGATATCTTATGTTTCTTTGCAAAATTGATGGGTGTTAGAAGTTTAACTTCATTCTTTTATTAAATTATTGAGTATTAAATATAATATACATTACATAAATTAAAAATAATATTTAATATCAAAACATGTCCTAACGTGTCGAAATCTAATATTTTTTAAAATTAACGTGTCGGAGTGTCGTGTCATATCGTGTCTCGTGTCCCGTGTCGGTATCGGTGCTACACAGCCAGTAACTTTAAAACTATGTGATTTTGGAAATAAGGAGAATTAATGAAAGATATTTAAAAAAAAATTATTTTTCATAATATAATTTTTTACCAAAATATCCTTGATTTAATTTTCTCAAATCTCTTTACGACCACGTTTGGATTGCAATAGAAAAAACCAATTTTTTCCTTAGTTTACCCAACTTTTATATAAACCGTTGGCTTTGTCCTTATGAAAACAGAAAAACAGACTCTCCGAAAGCGACGCTTTAGGGAGTGGTGCGAGAAACAAATGTGAAACGAATTAAACAATACAACAAAAAGTTGGTTCTTGTTTTTTCGCCGATAATTCAGCATATAGAGTTCGAACACCAACGTTGTTTTTCGGATTTTTCTTACAATAATTTTATTCAGATAAAGACAGAAAGAATAATGTTTCTCTGTAACTGATCTTATATCCCACTCTGTTTGGAGATCCACTTCCGAAGCTGCATGGCTGTTTTTCCTCTGGTTCACGGTCAGGTAATTAGATCACTGCATGGCTGTTTTTGTTTTTTGCGTCATTGATGTTCCATTTTCCCCTTGTTAAATTTTGAATGCAATTTCGATGGTCAACATTGTCATATATTAATCACCGTTGTTGTTTAAGTTATCATCTTCGACGTCTTGGATAATTTGCAATCTGCATGTTTTATGAGATAATGTATGAAATGCTCATTCTTGGAGCTCTAGATTCTTCTTCAGGTTAAGGATCTGTGGGGAGATAGGCGTGGAATTTTTTAATTTGATACTAAAAGTTATTGCAAAAACACAGTGAGTTGGTTTTATTTCTCTGCCTTAATTATCATATCAGATCAGCGAAACTGATGGTCCCAATTCATGATTCATGAAAATGAAACAGGGCACCAGATAATAAGATTAATGTAGCAAGATAATTTAAAAATTCAGAAAAAGTGAGTTTTGAAAAAAAAAATGGAAAAAAAATTCCCATATTTTCTGTTAAAAATTAAAGGTTAGAGGATTGGCACAAGTATGGATTATTGATTCCCTTTCATTTAGTTGAAGAAATGTGAAAATAGCAGTGATGTATATAAGGTGCAGGGCGGAAAGAAGTCATTTATTTTATTTTTTTCTGTTTTGGATTATATAAAAAAAAATTATTCATGCAAATCATATTCATGCACTTGATTGGATTAGTGGCCCAAATTGGATGCCTTGTATAGAATGAGGAAAGCATATAAATTATCAATTACCAATAAATTTGAGATTAAGAGGAGTAACAATTATTAGCAGTGAATGTAAATTATACCCTACCTTCTCTTTGATGCTTTTGTTTTTTTCAGAATGAAATTATCATTTTTTTTTTTTCATTTTTGGTCATCGTTAATTTGATTGGTCTGCGTGATTCAATTCTGTATTTTTTTTTTGGGTTTGTTTTTCTGACGTTACTTTAGATAACTTTATCTAATGTTCATCAAAACGACGTCGTTTTGGGACGGAAATCATGGTATTTTTGTAATTTTAATTTATTTCAGGGTTATAATAATCTTTATCATTCTAATTTTTTAATTTTTCAACTCCAAAACGACGTCGTTTCGATGAACATTAGATAAAGTTATCTAAAGTAACGTCGGAAACTTTTTTCCCTTTCTTTTTTATATATTTAAACGCCTCTGTTTAAGAACTCAAAACAAACATGTCTTACTGTTTGCATTTGTAATTGATACAAGCACATGACTCTTGTATATATTTACATGTAGTGTAAGATGCGTGACTATTTAGTCTAGAATCGGATCCACTGAATTTGATCTTGGGAAACTTTTCACTAAAGTGGCAAAAGTTTAGCAATGGAACAAAGTGGAGGCTCCAAATTGACTGGAATTAGACAGATTGTGAGACTAAAGGAAATACTTCAAAAGTGGCAAACTGTGACTTTGAGCTCAAAAACTTCCCATCCCAGTTCTTCTGATGCAACTAATGGGGGCCTACCACCAGCAATTAACAAAAGGATAACAAATGTTATCAATTGTGACTCGGATGAGGATAGTTGCCAAAGTCCTGAACCCCCACTTGATGTTCCAAAAGGTTACTTGGCAGTGTATGTTGGACCAGAACTTAGGAGGTTCATAATTCCCACCAGCTACCTTGGCCACTCTCTATTCAAAGTGTTGCTGGAAAAGGCTGCAGAGGAATTTGGCTTTGACCATAGTGGCGGGCTTACCATCCCATGTGAGATTGAGACCTTTAAATACCTCCTCAAGTGCATGGAGACCCACCAGAAAGAGCATCCTGATGACAGCTCCTGTAAGTGTTTTGCATTACTTGTCATTATTTCAGGGGAATGGATCCTTTTTTAATATCATCATGTCATGCGAAAATCTCATTTAGTTACTGGCAGATAAACACTGAGAATAGAAAATTGTCATTTTAATTGCTGAATGTCAATCTATCAATGAATACTTAAGATTTTTCTCGAGGCACGAGCATGATTAAAATATAAATAAATGAGAGATCCATTTTTTAGAATAAATCTTTATGACACGTGAACAAAAAATAGATGTATCAAAGATTTAGTATATTTGTTCAATCATTTTATGACACGTGGACAAAAAACATCACATCATCTATTTTTTTTGGATGATGTGATATTTTTTTGTTCACGTGTCATAAAATAAATAGACAGATGTACCGAACTCAGTGCATCTGATGCACTAAAAATTTATTCATTTTTTCAGATATGTAAATTCCAATAAATTTATATATAACAAAGTAAGTGGTCCAAATGTCCAATTAGTTTATCTTTTATTTTTACCATTAGAAGATTTATCTTTTTTGTTTGTTGTTTTTTTTTTTTTTTTTCCTATTTTACTAACCTTTGGACTCATGGTGAAACTGCAGCTGGAAATTCAGGAGCTTTGGAAGAGTAAGTAGTTATTCTGATCTTTGTGGAGGTCAAGATCATAGTATGGCTTCAGGTTAAAAGCGGTTCTTCTTGCTTCCATCTTCTTTTTGTTTGATCTCTTATGTGAAGAATGATAGAATACCCTAGGTAGAAAGATTTCAGGCGCCTTTGCAGCAATTTGCTGGTGGAGCGGTTATCAAACCTCAATTTATTCTCTGTTGTGGTATAAGACCTGCATCTGATGTTCCCTAGAGTCATGTGCTTTTCTAGCTATACACTGTTAGCTTATTCATAAGGGTTGGTTACTTGGTTTGCCTCTTAATTATGTGGTTTCATTGTGAGATGCTAGGTGCTTCAAACTCAGACTTAAGACTTGCATATATGCTTTTTCATACACAAAAACAAAATAACTGATTGTCATGTGCCTCTGTATATCTTCTTCAATCAAATGTTCAAATCTCATTTCGAGCTGTCACTTTTCTATTCATATCATATATGTTTATTCCTTAATAAACAATAACTAATTCCAGTTCTTGATGTCTTCAAAATTATACATCCACTATTCTATGCATCTAATCTGAGCATATGATAGTAGCATCAATATGATTCCTAAGAAGATATGGTATTTATTCTCTCTTGTTTTTATATTTATTATTTATTTAATTGAGGATAATAAAGCAACTAAGGGGTCTCAATTCTTAAATGATTTGCTAGAGATAACAGATGACAAGTCATTCAACATACCTGCTAGTTGATTAAGTTGGAATAATTCTATGCTAGTTGATCCCTGGTAAAAATATTTCTTGTTAAATGTTAATATACAGGTTCATCTCTGGCTAGACTCTTACATGTTTTATCTGTCATTTGTAATAAATTTGAGTACATTTAATTAAGGCTGATTTATTTTTTTATTTTACTCCTAGAAAAATAACGGGTCATTTTTGTCCTTTTCTTTTTGTTTTAATTTTACTCTTTAATCTAACTATGCATATAATGCTTTTCAGTTCTACATTTATTTTTCCTTTAAATATATTTTTTCTTCAATTTTACCAAAACTAAAAAAAGCAAACGGTACAAGGCACGAAATGCTCACTAGTTTTTTATGATTTGGGCTCATTCTCAATTAAGAAGTGCAATTCGCACAATTAGACTGAAAGATATGTAACAGAAACTTGTTGGTTTAGTGGTAGAAGTACGTGATCCTTCATGTAATATTGTCCTACGCGCCTATAAGAGTTGACTTAACTGGTATAAGATGGAATAGTGTTTATATTTGATACCACTATAAGAATATTTTGCCTTAACCTTTGAGACAATTTCCCTTCTTAAAAACTTATTATTAAAAAAAATTATCCAATAACAGTACCATTGATAGAAAGAAAAAAAAAAAAACAATTAATTAGCCGTAGTTTAGTTTGTGAATCAACAAGTATAAAGTCATCAAAACTCACATTTAGCCTGAATGCAGACCACTGAATGATTATGATCATTCTTGTTGCTTGAAATGAAACTTTAAAATAAACATTTACGTTTATTTCTACACGACTAAAAACACGAGACAATCAGAACTACTGGACAATTCTATACCATGGAAAGGGAGTTGGAAGTAAAAAAAAAAAAAAAAAATCATACAATTTAAATCTCTCTATTTTTACTTGTCTCCCTCCTTTTCACGTTTCATTTTTCATTTTTCAAACGAACGTAACATATTTAATAAATGAATGATATTTAGAGCAGTTATGACTTTGTTTTGTGGGCGGGCTTAACCGCGTAAGCAGTAAAACCTGCAGATTGGGCTCTTCTTGAGCATGTTCGCATCAGGAACCATAGGGACTATTGATTAGGAAGCCCATACATGTCGTGCATTGCGTAGATAATTGTTTCTGAATTTTTGGCGAAAGATTTATTGAAGGAATGAATTTGAGTATTTACAACCGTGCGAACCACAGAAAAAAATCGAATTTTTTGTTGACCGTGGTTGGTTAATCTCTAAAAGAAATCAAGAATTACTTCTTGCTATGAAGTCCTGAATGATACAATGGTGGAGGTATAAAAATGAAGTAGTAAAAATAAAAAATGCAAAACTTTTACTTCAAAAATATCTGAAATAAAAAAGAACTTTCTTGCTATTTTGTGCTATTTTTGAAGTTGAAAAAGTTAGAGAATTCACACAGAACTTTATAAGTATCAACCACAAACAAAACTTTACAATTCAGAGACATTGATTATTACGTAAATCAAATATAATTATGTACTCAATAATTCAGTCTTCAAATATAGCCACCAACGAACCTTCTGTAAGAAATATCATAAAATAAGATTATATGACATTAGAACACCAAAAGATTCAGGCTTTCTTGTTGAAGACATGATTCTTGATTTCTTGAAGGCTTCTTGTTTCCTCTAATGCTCCTGCAATGGAAAGATCAGGATCTTCCTCTACAATTCACACTACTCCCTAATCACAACCATCGATGGGGCAAGTTATAGAGTAACGGTTTTCTAACACGTTGTGGATGCAGAGGGGACCTAGTCAAGCTTATTAACCCTAGTCCTCTTCCCATCATGGGCCTATGGATTAGGCCTACACTGTTACCCATACTAATCAGTTTACAGATATCCAAGCCCAAATCAAAAGGATCACTAATTAACTGGGCTTTATACTGCATCCCTATATGGATCATGACTTAGCTCGTTTTTATTAAAACAAGAAAAATTACAATTGATTGAAGCCCACAATTATTATAAAAATTCCTAACATTCTCCCACTTAGGCAAAATCAATTGTAAAATTTTAATTTAAAAGAGAAAAGGAAAACAAGTTATTTGAAAACGACTCTCGGGCTAAGGACTAATTCTTATAATGTGGCCACATTTTAAGAAAACACATGATCTAATGTGCGATATCTGAATATGACTCCATCCAACTAAAATCAAATAACATTAAATCAGGCGGTGATTATATCCTTACCAATATAAGACCTTCCATGGTCACAAATGTTACTTGACTTTGTCGACTAGTCATTAGTGTGGAGTGCAGCAAGAAAATAGCATGCCAATGTGATCCAACAACAGCCAAACTGTTATTTTTTTGTCAGTCCTCAAATTTCTCTCAAATGCCTTAAAGCTAGAGAAATTCCATGGTTTATCAAAAAACTATTATATAATCAAATATGGTATCGACTACGGGCCCTGTAGTCCTACAACACCACTATGTCTCAAACTCCCATATAGTGTCAACCACATACATGATGGTTCCAACAACACTGAGTTCCAAAATCATGCCTCAATCTCCAATATAGTGTCAATCACAGGCATGGTGGTCCTGACGACATTGAGTTCCAAAATCTTATTATCATGCCTCAAACTCCAATATAGTGTCAACCACAGGCATGGTGGTCTCAACGACACTGAGTTCCAATGTTTCACAATTGATAAACACAAACACAAATATGCAATATATACAATAACATAATTCAATGTATTATCAGTTGCTCTAAAAGAGATTTGTATATCAACCAAATATCAATTATGTCTATAATAAACAATTCAACATGATAAGTAAATAACAAAGAACTCAAACTCCAACTAACCAAGCACATCAAAGCGACTCACAATGCCCATGTTTTCACATGCATTTCAAATATCATGGGCCTAAGTCATTTGGTTAGAGAGTCAGTTAACATTCTCAATAACTAAGTCATCTACATACAATACAAGAAAAAGAGACTTTTCTCCCACTGACCTTATGATAAATATACTAACAGAAATTATTTTCATCATAGCTCAAGAAAGTCACTACCTCATCAAATCACCATTAATGTAAAATAAAATCCATGTTGATTGAATTCAAAATCCTTCTCAAAGAGGCCTTATAGAAAATTCATTTCAAAATAAACTCATATCCCGACATAAAAAACTAAGCAAATATCTCCCACTAACTCCACAATAATTTTAATCATGCAAAACCAATTATATCTCTCACACTAAAGAAAATGTCAAGTATACTCTCCACATTAACTATAGGATAACTTTAACGCAATGACTTATGAAGATCAAAATTAATAATAATAAAAAATCTAGATCTCATCTCTATTTATTATAATTTAATACAATCAACAATTCTATCATGACAATATTATCATTCACATCATAAGTATATTTACTACAAAAATGAATCATATTAATTATGAGAAATGAAATAATTTTAACGAAATAATTAGCATATTATAAACTCTCCTTTGGGCAGATAATTGCAAACAATAATTTTTATTAATAAAGAATCCTGTCGATTCTCAAATAACATTCTCAACAATCATACCTATGAAAAATCTTATAGCTTATGTTTTCCAAATTCATATTGCATTTACTAAACTGCAATTTATGTCACAAAATTCAATCCCCAATATCAACAATTATATATCTTAGCTTACTAAGCAAACTTAATTGACAAAGCACATAAAATCTACGCTAAAATTGAGAGAGTAAATAGTAATATTATAATCACCATAATCTATAATAATTTTCATTAATTAAAATTTTAAAAAATCATAAATATTTTTCACAGAATCAAACATGAGTAAGAGCTCATAAAATTAAATATGAATGAGAGAAAATAATTCCAAATAAATATTTATGCATATAAAAAATTAAAATAAATATTTCAAAATATTAATTTCAAAATGAATCAAACATACTTTCAAATCTATTTAAAGGACCTAACATAGAAAATCATTATTAAGGCAAAACAGGTATGCATTAAAATAAACTAAAGGGCAATATACACATTCAATTTAGTCAAGATACTATAATGAGGCCAACATAATAGTACATTCCACTTTGGGCAGAATGCACTAACCAAGGTTAAACCAAGGTCAGAACCTCAGATGAGTTAATCAATAAGCACAACACTGGGGTTGAAAATCTATTCCCTTTGGACAGATAGATTCCTAGACCAATGAGCCTCCAATAACTTCATCTATAACCTCAAGAAAAAGTTGCTCAGGATGAGTTAATCATTTATGGT